TCTCCCTCTCTCTCTGCCCCTCCCCGACTCTGTCTCTCAAAAAATAAATAAATGTTACAAAATTTTTTTTTGAAGAAAAGCAAACACAAATGCAAAGGAAAGCAGAGAGGAAAAGCCATAGGAAAGCCCTGGGAACCTTTGCTCCTGCAGAAAAGCTGATTCCCTGTCCTTACAGTTTATTTGCTCAAAACTTCCTCTGAAAACTCTTTGGTTGGTCTAATAATTCTCCTCTATCCTTAAGATACTTTGAAATGTTCCTACCATAATTAAGGGAGTGTGTATACAGGGATTGGACAAAAGTAAAAACAAAGCAAGAAAACTCTATTTCAAAGTCACTAAACTTCAAATTCATGTGTCAACAAAAGGAATAACCACTTTATCCATCTCTGGAGCATCTCAGATATAGTTGCCTGGTACCTCCTCAAGAGCTACACGACATCCTGAGCAGGTGGGTGTCTCCCAGTCTACATCAACGCTGTGCACCGACCTATGCTGTTTTACCCCTTAGGCTACAAAATCTTCAGTGGCAGAAATAGTGTTTTATTCATTCAATCAATAATGGTAATTATCGACTAGGAAGAAGCCCCGCAAAGTAGAGAACAAGATAGACCAGGGCTCCGACCTCATTGAACATTCATTCTAATTGAGGAAGACAGATAAAAACAATAGGTAATTAGTTTATCACAAGTGTTATGGGGAAAAAAAAATAACTGGTTGAGGTGTTAAAGAGCAATGGGGAAGGCCTGCAGAGGAGAGTTTAGATAACTGAGTGACTGCTGGGAATTGGGGATGAGAAAGAGCTTGCCAAGTCGAGGTCTGGGAGGAAGAATATCCCAGGTGTAGGTATCAAGGACGGTGCCCCTGAGTAGATGAGTAGGATGTGTTTGGGCCAGGCCAGCAGACTGCCTGGCCTATAATGTGGAGGGGTCTGGGCTTGCCCAAAGAAGCATTTGGGGTTCCAGGAGCTGGAAAGGGGGAAAACAAACCTGGGGAGCATAGAGGTGAGCCAAGACCTCTGCCCCAGGGCTGCGTGGGGTGTCACTCCAAGATCCTGAGATGCTAATCACAAGGTTTAGGCAGACGAGTGACATGGCCTGATTTGATTGGAAAATATCTGAGTGCAGAGAAAGGATAAGAGGGAGTAAGAAAGAAAGGGGGGGCCTGGGCAGCATCCCTGGCAGAGATTAGGGCAGCTCAGACTGAGTGTGCATGGGGCACCTGGCATGTGATCATAGAAAGGTAAGGAGAGGCAGACAAGGAATGAAGAGGACAAGGAGGGGAAGGCTTTTAGGAAAGTGAGATAAAAGAAAGAATATTTGAAAGGATGGAAGAAGAAAGGAGAGAAAAAAAGGGGGAAGAAAGAAAAGTAAGTGAAAGTGCTATCTTATTGATATGGACAGGGTTCCAAACAGCAAAGTGATGTGAGGGAGTTCAATATCAGGTGCATTGCTTAGAACCAAAGGAGTAGGATTTTAACAAGAATGTGCTCCGATTATTTTCTGCACAGACACCAAAACACACATATATACGCATCTTATTATATGCACTAACAGTACCCCACTAACAAATCAACTGTTTGGGGAGATTCCTGCCAGGACTGCCTTAAAACCCAACCATAGTCACAACATAGTCTGTGTCTTCAATCTCCTCCTGCATTTGTTGTGCCACAAGCAGTTCTCACAGCCTTCGCCATTATCGCTTTACCCCCCTCACGATTGTCCAAGAAGTTGATGAACCGTACTGTTTACTGAGGCTTTTCAACCATTTGGAACATATGCTCACATAAATAATTATGTACTGAATATCATCATGAGCATAACCTTTATTGTCCTTGAGATTTATGACAAAAATTCTTCCTTGCAGTGTCTTTAGGGAAACACATGTTATGTAGTTGATTGTTTTTTCTCTGAGAAAGCTGAACGTAAACTCCAACTAAATCCCTTCTGCAGTCAAGCAAGGAAGGACCGGTGCTCGAGTCTTTGAAAGCCTCATTCCCTCTTCACAATCTCTTCTCCACAATCTGCTGAGCACAAAGACTCATTAGTTTAATCCTGAATCACCCTTCTCCTTTTAGAGGAATTCATTCTAGTTCTAACCAAGAATTCCAATTCAGGGAAGCAGGAGGGGAGAACAACTAAATTCCCATCAATCAGTAAATCTTTCTCTTTTAAAAATGTTGTATCTGGGACGGCTATACATATATTAAGGAGCAAATCCAAACCTCCTGATGATGGGGGAATTAATGGAAACAACAGAGCAAGAAGAAGACAGAACATAAAGAAAAGACAGAAGACAGGTAGTTTTCAGCCAGTCCCAGCTCCCACTGAGGAGATCCCCCTGCATTTCACATTAACATTCTATTAACATTTCATGAGCACATCAATATTTAATGAGGATGTGATCTGCATACACCGGAGATAGAATTACTGCAGCCAATAAATGTTCCGGAAACATTTCCAAGGCACTGTTTATTAGCAGGCACTAAATTAAGGAGTAATTTAAGTAATCAATATGTAAATCAGCTTTGAGAAGCCCTTCTCTTTATTCTTTAATGTACCATCCATCTTATCATATTTACCCACCTAAAGAAAAATAAACCTACTTCTGGAATGGTTTCTTTAGACAAGGCAGACAGTAATTTTTAAAGTTACCTGTGTGCTTTTTAGGGTCAATATTCCGACGGAAATATTCAGAGAAGTCTATGATCATGAATGTTACTAATAATATATTACTATAGTGAAAGATAATTCTTAAACTAGACAGTAACTTAAAAAAAAAAACATTTGGGGCGCCTGGGTGGCTCAGTTGGTTAAGCATCCAACTTTGGCTCAGGTCATGATTTTGCAGTTTAGGAGTTTGAGCCCTGCATCGGGCTCTGTGTTGACAGCTCAGAGCCTGGAGCCTGCTTCAGTCTGCCCCTCCCCTGCTTGTGCCCTCTCTTTCTCTCTCTCTCTCAAAAATAAATAAACATTAAAAAAATTAAAAAATAAAATAAATTAAAATAAAAACATTTACTTTGCTGTTCTACCTATGTTCAGCATTCTGGTATTAACCATGCTCACCTAAGACATCATTTTGAAAAGTTCCATTTGGAAATATCAAGGTCTATTTTCCATGTTTATGTTTTCCTCACTCTAGTTTTAAGAGCAAACATACTGGAACAGAAGCCATGATAGATGGAGCACAAAAACCTGTTATTATCACTCATCGTAGAATACATCATACCCCAAAAGAAGTTTTAACTGTCTGCATGTCTCGTAAAATAAAACAGTGGATACTTGTGCCATATTAAGTATAAAATGTTTTTTAAATACTTTCAGGTTTTCAGGGTATA